TTAACCCTGCCTTGCTGTGCCACCTACCCTCAGCAGAGCAAGCCGGAGCCATCTTTTGCAGCGCCACTAACAGGGCCGGGTTTACTTTCCAGTTGTTAGCAGCCCGGTTGTTCTCACGTGCCTTGCCCACGGGCACCAATACGGAGCGAGTAAGGCCCAGAAGTTCCTTCTTGGGCCGCAAGAAGAAGGGAGAGAAAAACCGGCTGATCGGGGGGCCTCTGCTCCCCAGTTTTTGCAGTTGATGACAATCACATGCGCACCCTTGCGCACCCCCTACTGCACTGGACTCAGCTGAACCCCAGGCGCTCTGAGCTCTCTTGATGTCGGAGCTTCTGTCCCAGGCTGGGGTCAGCTGAGCCAACAAGGAACCTTCCCAGCTGCCAATATGCGGCCTTGTGTGGGTTTGTTTGTGGCGTGCGGCTGGTGGTGTATTGGGCAATAACACTCCCCCGGACTGTCTCCCTCTCCAAACCCCTGTGTGCAAACCTTTGAAACAAACAAGCAACCTCGGGCTACAGAGACGCTGGTTTCGCTCTTGATCGCAGAAAATGCAGGCGCGCGGTGATCTCTAGTGCGCTCCGGAGGCTTCTCCCCCCTCCCACAATCTATCCTGGTTCGGTTCTCTCCGGAGGGGAGGGGTGTCCCTGCGTGGCCCCTGTTTATGTCGCTTCCGACTTTGACAAGGGTCTGCGCACCCAGCTGTGTTTGCGGTGGAGGAGGAGGGCGCGCGGAACTCCTGATGCTCTCCTGATTCCTGCGCCTCGGGCTGCTCGGCGGGGAGAGCCGGGCTTGTCTAAGCAAAGGGGTGTTAGAGACCCCACTCGCTTACACGTCCCGTGTGGCTTGCACCAAGGTTAACGCAGCGCTGGGCTCCCGATTGCCCAGGTAATCCCGGCCACCTCCCAGAAGGCACCGATCTTTGCTTAAACAAACTCTCTTTTCCCTGGCTGGCTGCGAGCATCTGTCCTCAGGACAGTCCTGCCAGCTGCGGCGGCTGCAGGGGGTGGCTAGCTCCTAACCCGGTGATGGGGAAACGGAGAGAGGCAGAACAAGCCGAAAGCCTGGAAAGTCTTTGCCCTACCAAGCGCCCTGGGAACCTTGTACTGCCACGTGTACCGACTCCCGAGCGCTCCCAGTTGTAACGACTCGGCTACAGCTGAGCCTTAACGCCTCTCCCGCCCGCTCTCCCTTCCCCTGGCAGCAGCCAGAGGACGTGGCGAGCTGCCCCGGACCCACTGGTACTGGCGCGGTGACACCAGCCTCTTGCAAGGTGTCTGGCTGAACCGAAGGGGTGAAAAGTTTTTTTTTTTTCTGTAGCCGCGGCCATTATGTCACCGAGACACTTCATTATTAGAGCATCAGCTCGCGAACCCGGCTTCGGGTCAAAGTGTGACACTTAACCAAACAGCAACCGCCCGTGACTTCTGATTTATGCAAAATGGGTGCATCGCTTGTAACTGAAGGGGGGAGGGGAGCCCCAGAAATAGCTCCGCAGACCGGAAAGTGCAAAGCTAAGCCGGTCTGGAGCTCAGAAAGCGAGGCACCCCCTCTAAAAAAAAAGACAAATAAATGCAAAGTTCTTCTTACCTGAGTGTGGTCCGGCTCTGCCTTGGCTTTGGGGAGCCCCAGAGAGAAGAGCTGCCGAATTTTTTCGTGCTTATTCTCTCCTCCCGCTAGTACAGGGTCTTACGGACTTTAGCAGCAAGTTGTCTCTAGGTGCTTTGGAAGCTTAACTTTGAGAGCAAGCGCCTGAGTCCCCATGTGAAGGGACCCTGTATCGTGCACTAGGGGACTGGCATGGCACCCCCGAGCCCTTACAGCAGGGAATGGGGGAGAGACGCGCACTACCCGGGGAATATGGATATGTAGAAAGAAGGGTAATTTGAGTGCTTAGACCAAGAACCAAGGCTGTTAAGTTTGCAGTCAGGCTGCTAAACGGTGCCAAGTACAGAAGGGCGGGCGAGCGGGCGGGGGGGATAAAGAGCAATTGTCAGAGGCGAACAAAAGGCGGGGATGGAAAGGAGCTGAGAATCCCCTGGCAAAGCCCGTCAGCGCGGACTTGAACTTGAGACTTGTCTGAGACGCTGCAGCAACGCTGAGAACCTCGCGTGGGGCTGCGCTGGCTGGGGGGGGGGGGGGGGAACGCGCTTACAGTCCTATGGCAGCGTATAATGCTAAAGTACCGAGGTACGCTCACCCCAAGGTCAGGGTGTGGGGAACACTGACCCTTCTCCCAAAGCAGCTTCTCTGGGTGGGAGAGAGGCCGCCACCTTCCCCCGCAAGTGTCCACAGCCCTCCCATATCCACCTGACTCGGGATCCCTTACTGGTCTGACACGTGGAGTGGGCCCTGCATGGCAGAGCCCTGCTAGACCCACTGCCTCTTTCCAAGGCTCCTTTCCTGGGGTGGGGGCACGCTGGTACCTCTCAGCCACATGTCCCGGCCTTGGGGTGCTGACCCGCGAACCTGGACAGAAGGGATTCTATGGAGGGGGGCTCCCTTTAGCCACGGGGCACAGAAGTTAGCCCTTAACTTTGCTGCAGCAGCCAAGCACATGCCAGGCCTCCGCGGGGAGCGGGAGCGGGACTAAAGCCAGACGAGATGTGGTGCTGGGAGGGGTGGGGGGACGAGTACTGTAAAAAGCTGCCGGGGCTGAGCTGGCCTCTGGTTCTCACAGTCTGAGTCCCAGGCTGGATTCTCTTCACGTCCCAGTCTGTTCACCCATCGCTGCTATTCAGCTCTTAATTGAACGTTAATGGCAGCTGCGGATGAGGTCATTGGAGCCGGCTTTTCTCACACATTTTTCATGCAAATCCGCTAAACTCTAAACAAATTTGAATAAAACCCCCTTTGTGCGGGCCCTGTATGGGCCGCGCCGCGTGTTTTTCCCGGGGCCTTTCTGCCTGTCTCAACAGAGCCCGACCAACTTTATTTGGGGGGCCGGAGAATGGCACCGCGGATTGTTGCGTATCATCTTTTTTTCCCAGGAGAAAAGGAATGTCTGAAGCCGGCAGCAAACTGTACCCAGCACAATGAGAACGGAGGGAGGGGGGGTTGTTCCGATCCGGCTATAAATAGTGGAAGGGGTTTGAATCCCTGCCATCGGCCTCGTTAGCATCTTTCAGAGGAAACAAGCGAGCGGGCAGGAAACACTTTTCAACAGCGGCGGGGTTTGTTTGGCCTTAGAAGAAAACCTGGGAGGTGCGTGTGTTGGGGGTTGTCTAGCGTCAGGGGTTGCTTGCTTGAGTCGCTTTACTCCCCGTGGCCTCCAGGCCTCTAGGGAGCAGCCGGCCAGCCCCACCCGCCCCTGCTCTTTGCAACCCTCCCTCGCACAGCAGCTAATAAAACAGCCGCCTCCGGGGCCCCGGCTCGCGGCTGTCCCGCGAGACTGGAAGGAACCTTAGCCGGGCCTGGCTCTGCCCCTTAGGCACCCCGCGCCTGTGTCCCAACGAGACAGCGAACGAAGCCCTCTTGGGGCCGGACCCAGCAGCCATGCTCGGAGGAGGATCCGGGCCACTCTGACCCGCTATGTTTATCCCCCCCCCCCCGAGAAGCGGACCCCGCCTGAGTGGGCAGCTGGCGCCCCGCGCAGGAGGATGCCAGAGCGGGCCCTGGCAGGTTTGCCCGAGCAGGGGCTGCTTGTCTTGGTCTCTGCTCGCGCAGCGCTGCCAGCTGCTTTTGCTGTTCGCCGAGCCCTGGCCCAGCAGCTCTCCCTCTTCATTCACCGGTCTTGTGTCCGGCACAAACTGTCCAGTGCCCCGCTGGGCGGCCCCAGCAGCCGCGGGGAAAGGCCCAGTAAAGAGCAAGCCACAGGCAGCCACGGATCAGGTGCCTAGGTAGGAGGACTCCTGCCCCCAGGGGCCTTGGGGCAGCTCCCAGGGCCACAAATGCATCTCCTTTCTGAGCGGCATCTGACCGCTCCCTTCCCCAGCGACGCCAGGCGCCTGGCTAGGCAGCGCTGCCAGAGGGCGGCTCCCTCTGCCCTCTAGGCCCGCTGAAGGCAGGCGGGGTGAGCGGTCTGCACGCCCGGAACCTCCTTCCGCCAGGCAGGCTTCATTCTCCGCCTTTGGCTTTGCTTTTCCCTTGAGATGTCGGACTCAGGCCCCAGTCGGGCTCCCCAGGGGTCCTGGCTGGGACGTCGGAGTGACCAACGTGAGGTCAAAATATAGCGAAACCGTATTGGCTAGAAATCAACTTATTTTTGTAAGGGAGCAAGAAGCCCTCCTCCAAGTCAGTAGCTTCCCCTTCCCCTCCCCAGTTCCGCTTTCACCCGCTAGTACTGGGAGCACCGCTGGGCAAAGGATCCTGCAGATTAAAGGTCACACTTGGTTCCTTCGTCGGGCTTTTGGACAGCCCCAGCCCACAGGAGAGCTACACGTCTTCACCGAAATCAACTTATTTTTGTAAGGGAGCAAGAAGCCCTCCTCCAAGTCAGTAGCTTCCCCTTCCCCTCCCCAGTTCCGCTTTCACCCGCTAGTACTGGGAGCACCGCTGGGCAAAGGATCCTGCAGATTAAAGGTCACACTTGGTTCCTTCGTCGGGCTTTTGGACAGCCCCAGCCCACAGGAGAGCTACACGTCTTCACCTCCCCCTTCTCCACCCCCCAGCCCAACCCACCCACCCCACCTTGAACTTGGTCTTGCGGGGATCTGCGCCCCTTTCTCCCTGCGACTCGCGTGGGAGCCAGCTTGGTGTTAGGTTTTCAGCTGTGGACTCAGTTCCCTCCTGCAGGAGGACGAGAAGGGGCACGGAATCACCACACCATAGGGGCAACCCGCTTCGGGAGGCAGACAGGCGGGCTTCACAGCATTGTAGAGACCTGGCTATTATCGCCTTTCCTGGGCCTGTTTGCCCTGGGTTGAACAGCTGCTTCCCAGCCTTCTAGAACTGCCAAACGTTCCGCAGCCAGGGATTCGATGGTTCGGGGAGACTAGGAGATACCTTTGTGTGCAGGACGTGGGGGTGCGGGTGGGGGTGTGGCGTGGTGTGTAAGAGCACATGCATCGCACTGCGGGGGCAGGATTTATTTGGACTGGGGCATTATATTCCTCTCCATATACCAGACGAAAACACACGAATCATTTTGACAAGTGAATTGTTTATTTTAACCATCGCTTTGTTTAAACAAGTGAAGGGAGCGGATGTGTCTTTTACAAAAATAAAAGACATCGCAACTACATCCATAGGGATCTCACCAACCTGCTAGGCCGCCACCATGAATAAGTTTGCAGTGAAAAAAAAATCAATATCTGTTCCAAAACAAAGAAAAAGAGGGATTAAATAAGCTGGGAAGCAGGCAAGCGCCTTCAAACCCGAGTGAAAATACAGTCCTACATTTACGGGTTCTTCTATGATGACCAGGAATCTAGCCCATGTAGACAGTTTTTCAAAATACCCAGAAGGTTCAGTTGTCTCAGACATTAACTGATCCATTGTCAGTGCAACAAAGCAAAATAAATCAGACTGAACTTTTCCACATTGACTCCGTTGGTGCTGTCTCAGGTTTCACCGCTTATAAATACATATAGTAGATTTCCCCCTCCCCGTCCCCAGTTGAGGCATTTGCTTTCTGGTCGCTGCCTGGACAGGAGGGTCAGTTTTATCAGGAGAGCAAGGAGGACTGTGATTTCTGGGGTTACAGAGCAGCAAAGGTGACCACAGGACATTCACCAGTGGTGCATTATACACTTTATACAAAATCAAAATTTTCTTCTTGCTCCACACACCTCACCCTCTTCGCCTGCAATCCTGAAAGCTCTCGAGATCCAGTGTCTAAGGCTGCTGCTTCTCTGGGCCATTTGGAAGCTAGCTGGCCAGTCCATTTTCAAGGAGTATGTGATGCAAAAAGGCCCCAGCCATTTTCATCTGTAATGAAGTTTAACAAGGAAACTAAAGTTGCCTAAGCCTTGCCAGTGTTCAGTCACAGGAATCTGTAAAAAAGCAAAGAAAACCCCAAATATTATTATGCACACTAATAAAATAATCACACCTAAAATCAACCCAGCAACAGTAATTCACTGTGCCTGGAACCTCTCCACCATGCATAGAGCCAGTGCTGAAGTACGGAGATTGTTTCACCGAGACACCGGTGCCAAAATACCTTTTACAAATAGGACGTCCACTTGCCAAAAATGTTAGACATGTTCAGCATTTACACTTTCAGATGAATTCTGCTGCTTTGTGCATTTTGCTGTATAGCCTGCAGGGTGCCCCTCTGTGAGTGGCAAGGCCTCTGTGCTACTGAAATGCTGGGATCCACTAACTTCCTGTGGCTGTTAATACTTCTTGGTAAATCTCCCTACCTTGTTCAGTGAGGAGCTGAGGTGTTCTAAGCTCAGAGGTGCTGCATGTGGCCACTCAGGGGGAGGGGTCACTATGTCCTTCCTCTGAAGCTTTGGGGGCATGGGATTAAGCTGCATGCCAGAGCCTCTAAAGAACCTGCCCTCTGATGTTTTAATCTTCATGTTAACTCTCCCTGGTTTCAAAGGCCTTGTCTTTGGCAGGCCCTTCTGTAAAGTGACATAGAGCTATTTTGGCTGGATCAAAAGCCATTATGGTCAGAAAGAAGGTAATTTGAGTTATTTTTCCCTGTTCTGTTTTATTCTTCTCAGTATTTTTTACCCTTTGTTTTCTCCTGGCTGTTATTCTCCTCCAGTCACAAGTTCATAACTACTGGGACTGTGCAAATCCAGAGGGGTAGCCATGTTTGTCTGATTAAGCAAAAACAAGGGCTACGTCTACACTGGCCCCTTTTCCGGAAGGGGCATGTAAATTTCACGAGTCGTCGTAGGGAAATCCGCGGGGGATTTAAATATCCCCCGCGGCATTTAAATAAAAATGTCCGCCGCTTTTTTCCGGCTTTTAAAAGTAGGAATAAGACCCTCCGGAAAAGGGCACTTTTTCCGGAGGATCGGGGCCAGTCTAGACGCTCTTTTCCGGCTTTTTTAAAAGCCGGAAAAAAGCGGCGGACATTTTTATTTAAATGCCGCGGGGGATATTTAAATCCCCCGCGGATTTCCCTACGACGACTAGTGAAATTTACATGCCCCTCCCGGAAAGGGGTGCCCCTTCCGGAAAAGGGGCCAGTGTAGACGTAGCCAAGGAGTCTGGTGGCACTTGAAAGGCTAACAGCTTTATCTGGGCATCCGCTTTCCTGGGCTGGAACCCACTTCATCAGATCTGCAGAAGTTCTGAGGGTTCAGCCCCACAAAAGTTTATGCCCAAATAAATTTGTTAGTCTGCCAGGCGCTACAAGACTCCTCGGTTTTGTGCAAATCCAATTCCTTTCCTTTATCAATTTTTCTTGTTACACCACATGGATTGGTGATGTAAACACCAGTTAGGAATAGAGCTGGTTCAATAATTCACAAAGAATGCAGCTAGTTTCAGCTCTTTTTATTCACCTGCCCACAATTTTCTAAAATACATTCCTTCACAAACTATTTTTGTGTATAATTCATGCTATGTGTCTCCTTTTTTAGTTACAATAGAAAATTTAATATTTGATTGACCACCTAGAGCACATTGTTACATTTTTATTCCTTGACAGGATGAGTGAGTGTAACTGATTCAATCACATGAATACCCAACATTTATTAATCCATAGTTTGATTTCCATGGACCTTCACTTGAAAATCATTCTCTCTGGGAACATCCCTGCCCCTAAAGTCCTTTGCTAGAATATTCATTAAGAACCAGCCAGAAAACTCATTGATATAAATGGAAAGGCTCCTCTTAGCTTTATTATGACTTGGGTGAGGCCCATAAAACAAAGAGGAAAGGGATACATCCAGTTCTAGGTGTATTCATTCTAAATGAAAACCTGAAGGCCCCCTTTATTGCTGGAAAGGCGTTGGTACTGGCCAATTTCTGCTCAGAGGTAGAGTGGTCATAAAACAATTGCAAGCAACACGGTGTAACTCATACCCATCTAAAACGCAGATCCCCTTGTCACTGGTCAGAACCTGCTAACTCCTTTCTGCACTGGGCCCACTGTCTCTCACTCCAAACAGTGCAAACAACAGAGATAGTCTGCTGAAATCTCTGGGAGTCTTTCCAATGGCTGCAAAGGTTGGATGGGATCCTAGGTGCTCAGTACAGCTAGTGGCCCCTGATATCCTTCTCTGCTCCTCCCAGTGGGCATCTGCTTGTGGACATGACTCCATACTGAGTTAAGTCTGGATTGTGCTCCATTTCCCATCTAGTTACTTTAAGCTCTTACTGAGCAAAGAGCAGCTTCGTTTACTCTCCCACCTGTTTAAAATTTCATGCTTGCTACATGCCCAGGGCAGCTGGGAATTTCCACTGAAACTGAATCACTAACTAAATAAGTCACTTTCAAAAGAAAAAGGGGGAGGTGAAATCTGCACATGAGTGGCCAGCCAAGAATTCTCTAAGCAGACCAGCCTGAAGATTCCACTTTCTACCTTAGGAGGAAGCATCACTCTACTTCTCCTGCAATTGAAGCAGGCATGTGCAAACACAGGCCTGATGTTTCATGCTCCCTTTCCCCTCCACCCTGGCAGACTGTCTCAGTCTGTTGCAGCCTGGGGAGGGGCTCATCTGTTGTGCAAATAGAGGAGACACTGACTGGTAGGAGAAGCAAACCCACTCCTGAAAGCAGCAATGCCATCTGCTGCTATCTACCATTCTGAGAAATTTGTACCTTTGTGCATCTAATATATTGTGTGGGCAGAAAGACTGGACAGACTCCTTTGATTTCAACATCCATCTTTTCCAAGGGGCTTTAGAAAAGCCAAGGAATCTTGCAAATACTCTGTCATTGCACATTGTTCAGTGCCATGTGCCTTTGCCTATCTGTGTAAAGAAAACACCCCAAAAAGACACTCTGTGGTAGATTTCCTGTACCGGCCAGTTACTAACCAGTGTTGGGAAACACAAAAATTCACTAGGAACCTGATCCCAAGCCAGTAATATTTGTCTATTCACTTCCATGGGTTTTAGACCAAGCTAGAGGTGGGGACTTGCAAAACAGATTTACCTTTCCTTCCTTTTGGAAAAAAATAAATATAATAATTCACAAAATTCCCTGTGCTAGTCTGAGCCTGTGGGAGACAGCCGGGGACCTTCTTTTCCTTCCTAGTGTTGTTCTAAATCAGTTAAATATTCTAAGGTTTGTGGTTCTTTAAAAAGGTCCCTTCTCCATTGCTGAGGCCCCTACAGAAGCAGGATTGCTGCGGGGGAGGGGGAGACAAATACAAAACTAACAACAAATAAAATGCAGGGCTTACCTGCCTAATCAGATTTTTTCCCTTTGCCAATTTCCTATTCATGCCTTTTGGAAGGATGGACTCTGCCCCTCCCCTTCGCCTCACCCCATCGCCCAGTTCATAGACTCATAGGGAGAAACTTTCTGGACAATTTAATCTCACCGGGGTATTACTTAGCAAAACCCTCTTCACTGTCAATTTTTTTTTCACTCCACTCCCCCTTCCCCTTATTTTCCTTCCAGCCTCGATTGAATTTTGAAAGCCCCTGATATCTTTCTTTTTGTACAGACACATGCTGCTTATGCAAATAAGAGCCTTTCATACAAGCTCCCTGGCTCAAGACCTCCAACTCGAATGTGACCAAAAGCTGTGTTCTCCCCTGCTAACTCCTTAGCACAATTACACCTCCATTCTGCTTTAGGGGCCTGGGGAGGGAGAAACCATTTTAAACTAATAACACGTGCTGTTTGCCTTGGATAATTACAAGGGAGCTTCAGCTCTAAGAGCTATGAAATATTCCATTCAATGGGGTAAGAAGGAAGGCTGAGAGTGTTATGCCTACACAGCTTGTTTTTATCTTCTGCACAAGAGACATAAGTGTGTGTGTGATTTTTATATATATGTATAAAGACATTTCCTGCCTTGCTAACGTGCCCTGTGCTCATGCACCTAGGCAATTATTTATATTTTATATGAAGGAACTTTTCTACACTTTGGGCTGTTAGAGCCAGAAAAATGCAGCTGACATTTTCTTATCTCAAATTACAATTCCCTGCAAATATCAAGCCAATAAGAACACCAGTGAGCTGAAATCCAAGTCAAAGGAGAGCAGGGTCTCTCTCTCCTTCACACACATAGAATACCAGTAAGCGACCCAGGGAACCGAGTTTAGAAATGTTAGGGAAGAAGGCCCAGCAAGGGACCTAGCCAGCAAACACCAAGTGATCCAGCCAGTCTGACTGGGCCTCTGGTTTGAATAGCCATTCGGCTGTCATTGTTCCTCTCCCTGCCTGGTCTCCTGGGGAAGTTTATGCAGAGGGTTTCTGCAGAGGCGAGGAGGAGGAGGGGAGTTTTCACCAAAGGCACCCAGGAATGTGTCAAAAGGGGGATAGAAAAAAGAAGAAGAAGGGAGACAGAGAGTGGGAACGTCAAGGACCCCTGACTAATGAATAGCAAGTTTGCCCTTGAACCTCACTGGGCTTTGCCATTCCCAGGCTCCAAACAAGGGCTGAGGCATGCCTGAGCCCAGCTGCAGGGGGACTGGGCTATGGTTCATCTCAGACACTTTGACAGGCCAGGCCTTTTCCCTGCATAGCTCAGACTTGCCTAACTGCTCCCCTGGCAACAGCTCAGTGCAGGAACCTAGGCTGAGGCCCTGTCTGCTGCATACAGAAGCAAAGAGGAGGAGGGGAGCTGGCTTGCAGAAATTAGCTGGAGAATGTGTTAACCCATCACGTGCTGGGCACCCTTCATCATAAACCTAAGCATCCTCCCTCTCAATATGAAAGCATGTTTATTTCCATCCCATGAGGCTTAGTGGCTGGATGTTATTGGAATGGTGGCTGCACTGTATTGGAATCAGAGCTGCCATTTTCCCTGGGTACTAAGAAAGGAAGGAGATGGTCCAGCTCATGATAGAACACCATGGCATTGACCCAGACCTGGAGGGGAAAAGATTGTTCCTACTCCTTAATGGCTTG